TTTTCTAAAGAAAATAGAATTTTGAGCTAATTTTAAATAATAATAATTCTTTTAAACCTCATCTGGCAGGTTGACTCTGCTTTTGGACAACCGAGCTCCATCCCCATGGAGCCGGCACTGGTGGGTGTTTGCAGCATCACCCGGCAGTGGGATGGAGCAAGAGGGGCTGGGTGCCCTTCTACCATCCCTATACTCCCAGCCTGTCATCGGAATGATCCCTGTGCCTCCCAAAAAAGCGTTTCCAGCCCCATGGAAGCTCCCGCTCCTCCTGCGKCCGGCAGAGCTCGGGGCAGGGCTCGGCAGAGGGAGCCACAGACTGYGCGTCCCCGGGCAGGAGCTGCAGCGCCGGGACCAGCCCTGTTCGGCATCCCCGACCTCGGGCATCGCCCAGAAACCCCCTGCCAGCTTCTCCTTCCTCCCTCCCTCTGCTGCTTCCCTACAAAACCCTTCCCGTCCTTCTCCTTCTCCCTTCCAGCACCAGGATCCGTTTTCCTCCCCGGTGAGGAGCGATGGAGAAGCGGCTGGAGAAGGTGAGCACAGACCCGAGGTGCAGCTCCCCGGAGGAGCCCAGGGCTGGCACCCGAGGCTGTGCCACTTCGGGTCACCAGAGCCACGGGCTGGCATCCAACCGAGAGCAGAGAATATCCCGGGCTGGAAGGGACCCACCAGGATCACAGAGTCCAGCTCCTGGCCCTGCACAGACACCCCAATAATCCCACCCTGTGTCCCTGAGAGCGCTGTCCAAACACCCCTGGAGCTCTGGAAGGTTTGGAGCTGTGACCATTCCCTGGGGAGCCTGTTCCAGGGAATGTATCCTGAAATTTTGCCTTTTTCCTTCATGTTGAAGCCCTGCAGCGTGTCCTGGCTGGAGCAGCAGCAGCCACCTCCTCCAGATAAACCTGCAGCTCTCCAGCAGCTCCGTCCTTGCTCCAGGACAAGGGAGCAAATGAAATGCCAGCTGTGGGGTGAGCTGTGGTGTTGAGAGGGGGTACAGGGCAGGGCAGAACCAAGGCAGGGACCCCTCCCACAGCACCCAGTCAGGTTACACACAGAGGTTGGTGATGAGCACCCAAAAAACATTTCCAGGCAACTGGAACGAGGCTGGTCGTTCTTACAGTGGGATTTTAACCTTTGTTCACTGTCACAATCCTGGAGTGGAGCAGCAGAACAGAGGTAACGTGGCACAGTTCACCTCSAAAACCACCCCTGCACAGCCCCAACACTGAAAACACGACATAAAGTTGTTAAAAATCACAAATAAATGCCTTGTGATTATATTCTTTGCGTATTTTAGCAGTATTTCTTTGAATACTGTGATTTATTTTCTGTCCCTCCCAAGCCAAGATTTTAAAAAGCTTTGATGTTTTATGTCCCCTCAGCTCCTAAATCATGAGTGTAACTTTAAAAACAACTGGAAGGCAAAGCTTTTCCTGAAAGCTCTTTCCAAGAGCTGCTGGAAGGGCTCAGCCAAGGCTCAAAGGGCACAGCTGATTACAGACTCTGTCCCAGTTCAAGCAGGGCTCCAGAAAGCAGAGCCAGGAGCCAGGGGCAGGTAATGAACAATTTGAACTCATTAAGCAATTCCCCAAGGTGTGGAAGGCTGGGAGGGCTGCAGGAAGCCTCTGGGATGATCCCAGCCCTTCCCTGCAGCCACTTGGACCCGGGAAGGCAGATTTTTGTTCAGAAAGAGCCTAATTTGGGGTCCACAGGTGGAGGGAATTGCCTGAACCGAAGCATCCCAGTGGAGTTGGCAGTGCTGGGATAACTTCAGGACTGAGTGCTTTTCCAGCCTTAAAGATTCCAGGATAAACCTGGAGCTGGAACACAGAGGGTGAGGGCCAAAGAGCCCAGGACTTGCTGGATATGGCACCTGCAGGGATTTATGGACCAGCACGGGGGCAGGAGGTGGTGGGAGACACCAAAAATAACCACAGTGACAAGAAAAAAACATAAAAAATCTGTTCAGATGGGACTCCTGAGAAAAAAAAATGGATCAGCAACAAGTACCACTGGAGAGTGTCAGGAAAGGAATGGAATAATGGAATAAATCAGTTGGAATCCTGGAAAATGGGGTAGGTCATGGCCGGGAGGGTGTCCCCTTATTTAATAGATTTTGTTCTTTCTGTTTTACTGTTTTGTTTCATGGGTTTGGGATTGTTGTGAGCTATAAATGCTTTGAAGATGARTATTTTTTCACCCAAATGAAAACAGATTTTCCCCCGATCACAAAGCCAGTGAGGCTCCTTCCCAATCCCACACAAAAAAAA